TGCAATAATAGGAGATGGCCTATCATTCTCCCTAGGCATTACTGTTAAGATTGTAACGTTGGAGAAGCTTGGCCTCTGGATTAGCAGCACAGAACAAGTTTGTTACAGACTACCTCACTCAAGATCCCAAATAATACATAGAGTGTACATAAAATATCAAACAGTATTTTACAGGGTAGCAGTTAACAGTACAGTTGCTGCATTCATAGCCCTTTGATTTGAATTATAACCTTTTCTTGCTTCAGTTCCCCATCTGTAAAAGTAAAAGAATTATACCTAGTAGCTGTCACTGTCCAATAAACTAATAGTATTCATCTAATCCAAGAGATTAGCAGGGCTCTGGTGAAGTTCTGGTGGCACAGTTGGTAATGAGTGTGCTGCCAGTCCAAAGGCACACAGTTCGAATCCATACCGTAGTAGAAAGGTAAGAGGTCTGCTTTTCGTGATTTACTGCCTCGCAAAACCCACTGGAGGATCAGTTTGGCAGTTTGTAACAATAAGTACTACTATAGTTGCAGTTTAACAGATGAGAAAACTGTAATCTGGAGAATTTTGATTACTTAAGGTAGATCCAGGACTTGAACATGTGGTGTTACGAATAGCAAAGCTGTGGGCATGTATGTAGAAGGAATTATGCATCACTTTTTTGTCTAAAAAGGACTGTGGGTATGACAGATGCTTTGCTACTTTCCAGGATACTTTGGTTCAAACTTGAAGGAGAAAAGGCCACATATTCATGGTGAATAAATTGATGAAGGTACAGTGACATTGTTTGAGAGATGAAATCCCCTCTTTTCTACTAGAAACTAGGAGGTCCCTGAAGCATAAACTCTGCCTCACTCATGTTTGCATTGAGTGTATTTCTGGTACCGTGAACTGGTATGTAATCTGTACCCACTGAATGTTGATAAGTAAAAGGATGAATGAGTAAAAATATGAAGAGGTAAGAGCTAATAAGGAAATCAGAAATGATACTATGGGTTTTGGTGAAATGACTTGAGAAGTGATATTTCTTTTAAGTGGTAGCAAATTTAGGAAGAGGAATAAAAATGAAAAATACTGAGCTTGGTTAGTCACATTGAGGGTTATCTGAGTAAGGAAATTTAATAGACAAAAGTAAAAACACAGATCAGGACTCTTAAGTACAAAGAAGTTCTCCTGAATGTGAAGCCTGGTGGTTATCTATTGAATAAATAATTGTGTAATATCAAGAAATATGTTTTCTCAAAGAATAGTTTGGGGTTGTTGTTGGTATGTTCTGTAGAAGCGCCTATGACCCATAGAGACCCTGTGTACAACAGCTCTGAAGCCTGCCGTATCCTAAACAAGTCTCAGTAACTCTGACACACCTATCACCATTACCCCAGTTACTATATCAGTCCATCTCATCCTTTTGTCTCCTGCACTGTCCCTCCATCCTTCTGAGCATGATGTCTTTGTCTAAGGACTGGTCCTTCCTAGCCACATGCCATAGTATGTGAGACAGAGCTTCAAAATCCAGCTTCCAAGGAGAAATTTGTTTTCACCCTCTCCATGACAGACCTATTTCTTTTCTTGGCAGTCCATGGTATGTTCAGGATGATAATTATTTTAAACTTTACAATTCTTCTTCCAACATTTTGTGGTGAAAAGCATCCAGTTTTACAGTAGAGAAGAAATTGTATGGATTTTAGAATTAAACCGTACATAAAATACACATAAATGACACCTTATTTTCCAAAAATACTGTGATAAGTAGGTAATTAATTACTAAAATGAAAAAGGTCTCCAAAATTCTAAATTTAGATAGAATGCTAACTTATTTATGGCAAAAATCATGCTATGCAGGGGTGATTCTGCTATATAAAGAAACCAACTTTTTCATTTACAAATAGTTTAGGCTGAGGTCAGGAAGATCCAACTGCTTGAGCCAATAGAAAGGGTATAGGAGAATGAGAATACCTTTCTTCAAAGTCTTTACCCATGGTTATGCTTGGCTGTTAACCATGGACGGCGTCCAGCAGTGCGAGAGAAAGTCCTGGTGAAGGGTTGCAGCCAAGAAAACCCTGCTCTGCAGGGCACAAGTCGCCAGCAGTCAGTTGACCACAACCGGTTTGGTTTTGTTTCACATAAACTAGCCCTTCCCCCTGCTGGTTACTGTTTGAGGCTATCAACTTCAACAGTTATCTATATTAATACTTAGGAACCCTGATGACACAGTGGTTAAAGTATTTGGCTGTAAATGAGCAGGCTGAACCCAAAACTGCATCAAAGGAGAAAGATGTGACAGTCTACTTGCATAAAAGGTTTACAGCCTTGGAAACACCCTAAGGGACTGGCTTGCTCTGTCCTGTGGGTCAGTGTAGGTCATAATCAAGGCAGTAGGTTTAGGTATACTAATGTCAAGATTGGTGGAAGATTATCAACAATCTGCGTTATACAGATGACACAACCCTGCTTGCTGAAACTGAGGAGGACCTGAAGTGCTTGCTGCAGAGGGTCAAGGACTGCAGCCTCCAATATGGATTGAGGCTCAATGTCAAGAAGACAAAGATTCTCACCCCTGGACAAATTGACAGCATCAAGATGGATGGTGAAGAGATTGAGATTTTTCACAGCTTTAGTTTGCTTGGCTCCACAGTCAACACTCTTGGCATCAGTAGCCAGGAAATTAAAAGGTGCATTGCTATGGGAAAGTCTGCTGTTAGGGATCTCTCCAAAGTACTGAAGAGCAATGGTGTCTCTCTGGAGACTTAAGGTGCATCTGATACAGGCCATGGTCTTCACAATCACTTGTTATGCATCAGAGAGTTGGACAGTGACGAAGGAGAATTGATGCCTTTGAGCTGTGGTGCTGGAGAAGAGTATTGAGGGTACCATGGACTGCTAGGAAAACAAACAGATTCATCCTGGAAAAGGTTAAACCGGGCAGCTCCTTGGAGGCAAGGATTCTGGGGTTTTATTTGACATACATTGGACATGTTGTAAGGAGGGACTGGTCCTTGGAGAGAGGGACATCATGCTTGAGAGGGTGGAGGGGAAGACCCTCTATGAGGTAGATTGATTCAGTGACGGGGTAATGGGGATGGGTGTTTGGCACAGGACAGAGCAGAGTTTAGGGCTGTTGTACATAGGGCCGCTATGAGTCGCAAGTGACTCGACGGCACACAACAACAGCAGCAGCAGTAATGTCAAAACCTTAATTTGGGAGTTTACAATTTATATCATAACCTCCATTTTATTCTAATGAAGCTATAAATGAAATATGAAAGTAATTTGTGTTATACACATTTATTTGATACATGTCTGATTTTGCTTTAATGACTGCATTTAAGTATGTGTTGGCTTTTTTTAGATAGGCTTTTCATAAAATTATCTCTTAATCATTTTTTATCACATCTGCTAAGATAAAGAATGCTGATAAATAATATTTTAAACTCAACTTTTCCTCTTTTTGTTAATACTTAAATTCTTTTTTTTCTTCATGGCAGTAAATTTACCAGTTATTTTAGGAAACTACCAGCCTGACCAGCTTCTTTGGCTCCACAATCAACACACTTTTTTTTTAATTTTATTTTATTGCTTTTCATTAACATTTACAGAGATTTTGGATTTTCATTCGTTCATTGTTGCACTTTTTCTTTACCCTCCTCCCCCAATCAACACTCTTTAACACTAGCAGTCAGGAAATCAAAATACGAATTGCATTGGAAAATCAGCTGTTGGGGACCTCTCAAAAGGACTGAAAAGCAATGATGTCAGTCTAGAGCCTAAGGTGTGCCTAATCTAGGCCTTGGTCTTTGTAATTACTTGATATGCATCAAAGAGCTGGACTGACTAAGGATGACAGAAGAAGAATCAGTGCCTTCAAATTGTGGTGTTGAGAAGAGTCTTGAACATACCTTGGACTGGCAAGAAAACAAATAGGTCTGTCTTGGAGAGGATTAAACCAAGTTTTTCCTTGGAGGCTAAGATTCTGAAGCTCCATCTCACATACTTTGGGCATGTGGCCAGGAAAGACTGGTCCTTGGAGAAGGATATCATGCTCAGAAGGGTGGAGGGACAGCGCAGGAGAGAAAGACCCAGGATGAGATGGATTGATATAATAACTGGGGCAGTAGGGGTTGATTTGATGAAATTAGTAAGACTGGATCAGGACAGGGAAGGGTTCAGAGCTGCTGTACATAGGGTCGCTATGGGTCACAGGCGACTCAGTGGCACATAAAAAAAAACAACTGGCCTGACCTAGGGGGAATTACGCTGCCAACCTAAAGGCGGACAGTTTGAATCGATAAGCTGCTCTGAGAAAGTTAGGCATTCCTCTCCTGTCCAGTACACAGTCTTTGAAAACCTAATGAATGAAGGTCAGCTATAAGTTGATTCTGACTTGATGGTGATGAATTGAGTTAAATTTAATTACTTTAGAACTGTTAGGCTGTTGATTTCAGCTGCTTTGTGGGATTAATCTGAGATCAAGGAGCCATGATGGTGCATCAGGTGGGTACTCAGGTACTGACTGAAAGATTGGCTGTTCAGACCTACCCAGCAGGTCTCTGGAAGAATGGCCACTTCCCAGACAAGCCAGCCAAGGAGGCATCTGTTGACTTTGTAACTCTTGATGTCACCACATGGGGTTACCAAGCATCAGGATTGATCGTGTGACTGCCAGTATTTTGTTTTTGAGCTGATAGGAGAGAATTGCTACTTTATAGCAGCTTTTGAATTAAACTGCCTTTTTAATTTTTTAAACAAAAATAGTCTTATAAAAAATAGTTTAAAAAAGTACAGTTGGGCATTTGTTTTTCTCTTTTAGATTTTAAAGTTTCCAAAACTCCAGAAGTTACATTCATTGCTTTTTACATGTTTCTGTCTTCCAGGTATTAAAGCAGTGAAGTTGAAGTCATTGTCCAGTGATTGCAGCCTTTTACAAGAACATCACACTGACTGAAGGTCATTGTATTTGTGAAATAACAGAACCAGTTATTTAAGGTGACTTTGTAGGAAACATTAAAAGTTGAACAATGACCCAGCTGTGTATTTACATCAGGTTATTGGGAGCCTGTCTGCTCATCATTTCTCATGTTCAAGGTAAATAGACAGTCATTTAAGCGATCTAGTTATCTCTGTTAGTAATTACTTCCGCCTCTAAAAAGTGCTCATTCTTACAACTGCTCTTTTGCTTCATGTCTCTTGAATGGTTAAGGTGTACCATAACAACATAGTTTTCTTTTAAGTAAAGCAAAAAGCAAAACATGAGCATTTTTTTACTTGACTGTAAGAAACATTTTTCAAGTATTTGTAAAGTTCCAGTCCTCTCTGATCTTATTTTCTTCTGTGTAACACAGACTTCATAATACATTGCATCAAGTAACTATAAGGATCAGATAAGTTGCCTAAAGTGGTGTCTAGCACACAGAGTGGTAGTACTCAGTGATGGTAAGTATTTATGTTTCAGCCTTCTTTGAAAGACAACAATGCATAAATGTAAATCATCATCATTATATTGTCTTCAAAGATTTTAGGAAGACAAATGGCACCTTGCATATCTTGCTCACTGAAGTTTCCTCACAGTACTAAAAATTTTAATTATAAATAGTATTAAAATCTTACAGCTGTGTGCTCACTGCTTGAAATGCACAAACTAGGTTATTGTGATGATTCTTAGTATCAGATGGACTGTTGGTACATAAACTATTTCTTGTATAGGTCAATTCAGATAATATTTTAAACTGGGATAAAACCTTACTGCTTTGTAGGAAGATCTCTGGAGAAGCAAAACTAGTGATATGAGAGAGTGTGAGTATGTGTAGAGAGAGGGGGAGGACAGAGAGATAGATTTGTCTCAAGGAAATGACTTAGCCCTTTAGAGTCTGTGGGTCAAGACATCAGCAGAGAGGCTTCTGAGTTATGTAGCTGCAGAGTCTGATGAATGCGAGGTCAGCAGGTACTGTAGGTGGCCGGTGAAGTCCAAAGAACCAGAGAGGTCAGGAGCCAGATGAAAGATCCAGATTGCGCAAAAAGTGAGCTCTTCCATGCTGCTTTGTGCATCTGGCTCAGACCACACACTCGATGAAGCTTCCCCTTCAGCCAGTTGGCTGCTTGTAGCTGACCTGGTCAGGACATTATTACATACTCTTCAAGGCAGTCACAGCTGCCAGGGAGTCAGTGACAGCCACTCACAGTCTTAACTGTGTGTCACAGAATGTATTGGATATCTTGGTTTTTAATGCTTGTGACATCACAGGCTGCTGTTCTTAGTGTTTGTTTACAGTTGATGTGGAGTAGTAAGAATCTGTGCTGCAGTCGTGAATGCATATGGTTGTGAATCCACGAGCTGCTTTGTGGGAGAAGGATGGGCAGTCTCCTCTCGTGGAATTATTGCCTCTGAAAACCTACTGGAGGGTCAGCTGTGGGTTGGTTCCGACTTGATGGTGCACATCAACAACAGCACATGATGAGCAGCCTAAAGCTTTTGACATTTTCATTGGACAATTTCATTTCATGAAATACAGATCTCACTCCCAGAATAATCCCCATTTTAATACCAAAATTGAAAAGAAAAAAAAATCTTTGTAAGGTGAGGCTGAAACAAGGGAAGGCAGAGTTTTGATCTGTTGTTTATGGGATCACTGTGAGTTATAATCAACTTGTTGACACCAAAGAACAGCAATTATAAGTATGTGTGTGTATCAGATAGAGGCTATATGGTACTAAATTCTCATCCTCCCAACCCAGTTCAAGTTGATCTGTAACAGACTTCTCCTTAGATGGAATGAATTATAGATCACTCACTCACTCATTACCATCAAGTCGGAAACAATTGGGCCATAAATTGCACAGAAAGAGATTACCTGTAGGCGAGTTCTGGTGGCCTAGTGGCAAGAAGCTGCATTGCAATCCTAGAGTTGCATAGTTCAAATCCACCAGATGCTCTGCTGGAGAAGGAGGAACAATCTCCTCCTGTACCTGTCAGATCCAATTTGATGGTACACACACACACACAAATAATTGAAAAGAAAGAAAAAGAGATTACCTGTCTTTCTCCTGCATAGTAGGTGGTGTATTTGAACCAGCTGTGTTTGGATTAGCTGCACAACTCAAAATCTACCCACTGGGTTGGAATTAGAGATAAAATTGAGAAATGAGAATTCTGGTTTTTTAATACAGTAAATGTATATTATGTTTCTTTTCAACCAACATTAATTTAAGTATTTCTTCAAATGATGACACAATACTTGCTCTTAAGAAAAGACCAAAAAAAAAATTTTAAAAATTAAAAAAAAAAAAAAGACCAAAGACCAAGATAGAAAGGTATTTCTTAGAGGTCATTAAGAAGGATCATAGAGGGGAACTGGTGGGAATACATTTTTACTTTAGCTGTAACTTTGTCTTGAATTGAGTTGGAAAAGTAAATATCCCTGTACTTTTCTTGTTATAAATGAAAATTATAACACTTACTCTAAGACTTGATCCCATGAAAATTAAAGCCTAGGAATTCTGAGAGCATCAAGAGAGTCTAATTCTAACATCTGATGGATATGTTGACCTGTTTTTGTTTAGTCATAATTTTAGAAAGGAAGTTTAGCTTTATGTAACTTACTAAATCATCAGCAGTGATTGAACAAATACCTTTCTTTTCAACATAAGTAGTCGCTGACAATTGTTCTGTAACCTGTTAAGTTGACATTGCTGCCTTTTTTTGTGTGTTTTCTTTCATGGTTACAAATGACTATTATACGCTTTTGGGATAAGGAAATGGGGACAGGAGCACCACCACCCACAGTTGAGCTTGTTATGATAAAACCATCTCCCTTGCTGGTATAGTTCATCTTATGTGTTACTGACTAACCTGAGATAAGAGGAGCCCTGATAGTACAGTAGTCAAGACCTTGGTTGCTGACCACAAAGTCAGTTGTCCAAATCCATAAGCCCCTCCATGGAAGAAAGAAGCCACAATCCAGAAAGTTTCCCTGCCTGGTCCCATGGAAGGCTGGTTCTCTTCTGTCCACAGAACGGCACTGAGTTCCATGGGTTTACTTCAGGGGAGCTGGCATTGTCAAGATTGTTTATTGTCCAGGCCTGGATAAAACCTTGAGAAATGTTTGAAGGTTGACCCAAAGCAGCACTCACAAGTGGTACTTTTGTCCACGTGAGGAGAAGAGCTCAATTTTGGACAATATTGAGACACAGAAGCAGGTCAGCTTCAAGCCCTGATGCATGGCAGCTAACTAAAACCTCCACCTAGTGGCTCTGTGGGACGAAGACGTACTCCAGTAAAGATTGTTTTTGTTAGGTACTGTCAGGTATGACCCATCGTGACTATATTCTGTGCCTTGCTCACAGTCTTTCATGTAGCTGAGCCCATTGCTATAGTCATTATGTCAGTCCACCTTGTCAGGGGTTTCTCTCTCTTTTGCCAGCCTTCCACCTTCCCAACCATGATGTCCCTCTCCAGCAGCATACTCAGAGTATGTGAGGTGAAGTTTAATCATCTTTGTCTCCAAGGAACACTCTGGCTGTACCTTTTCCAAGATCAATCTGCTTGTTCTTTTGGCGTGCCGTGGGATATTCAGTACCTTCTCAAACACCACATTTCAAAGGCATCATTTCTTCTTCTGTCATCCTTAGTCACTGTCTGTATTACAGGCTGTAAAGATTACTGCCTAGAAAATAGTGCAGCCATTCTGTGTTCTGCTGTCGAGTTCAGATCACCTCAGTGACCTCTAACACAACCAGAACATTAGTGCTGGAAAGAGAAATGGAAGAACCATGGTTGCTGTCTTTCATTGTATACATTCCTCTGCTTAGTGAGATCTGAGAGCTATTAGAGAAATCAGGTCTTTCTTTTGACAGCCCAAGCTGTATTTGCATGGGAGACCTTTTCACAGAATACTTGTATCTCGTCACTTTTCACCTTGTATTGTGTCTGTTTACATGCTTACTCCTCTTTTCTGCCTGCCAAGTTTCAGGGATCTGGTCAATTTCATCAAGACTTTATATTCCCTGTGTTTAATACATGAACTGTGCATTGCTGATTTTAGGAACAAGTGGGGTCAGTTCCCACTCCTGATGACCCTGCACCAACACAGGCTGTTGTGTGGCATCCTCAGGTTGTTGGGTTTGAGCCCATTGTTACAGTCATTGTGTCAGTCCATCTGGTCAAGTGACTTCCTTTCTTCGTGCTCCTCTGCTTTACCACACATGATCCCCTTCTCCAGGGACTGGCCCCTTCTGATGTTTTTGACGTTTGTGAGGCAGTATCTTGCTTTCCTCACCTCTAAGGAGCGTTCCAGCTGTAGACAGATCAGTTTGTTCTTCTAGCTGTTCATGGTATAGTCAGTATTCTTTGCCAGCATCACAGTTCAAAGTCATCAGTTCTGTTTTGTCTACCTTATTCATCATCTTTTTGTATGCAGGTGAAGCAATTGAATCTTCCAGGGCTTGAGTCAGGTGCCTCCTAGTCTTAAAGTGAACGATATCTTTCTAACCTTCTAAAGACATATTTTGCAGCCTATTTGCCCTGTGTAGTATCTAATCAGATTTTGTTTCTGAGCCAGGAGGCCTCATTGTCCTGTGTGCATGACAGCCAGCCTCCAAGGTAAGGTGTTGGTCTTCGGGAAAGTGAAAGCAGTGTTTAATTGAGAGCCAGTAATGGAGACAGCATGAGGCTTTCTCGTCAGATGAGGCTTTTTGATAATGGAGAAGTGACACAGTGAACATTTCAGAGACTCGAATGTTCATTTCCAGGAGGCTTGGATGCTTGGGCAGTGGTCAGGCATCATATATTGGGGGGGAAAGAGTCCTTAGCCTGACCATTGGAGGGAATTTCTGAATTGAAATATGTCATGAAGTTCATGTTAGGACAAAGCTCATTGCCGTGGGCTTGGAGCCAACTCATAGCTGACCCTTCAGTGGAATTTCTGAGGATGTAAATAGCATGGGAGGAGATTGCCCCCTTTTCCTCTTCAGAAGCAGCTGGTGAATTCAACTGGCTGCCTTTGAGGTGGCAGGGTACCTCCCTTGGAGAGATCGAGAGATCCCTGCTTTAGGACAAGTGAGACACTTCCTGTGTTTGGGCCACAGGCTGTAACTAGTTAGAGTTTGCTTCAGCTGCCACTGACTGAGACTTTCCAAAGTAGTTTTTAGAAGAAAATCGCCAGCACTCAGTTTAGGTTCTTTATAATTTCTTGACAGCTGTTTCTCCGGTATCCTTGATTGTAGATCCAAATAAAATGACGTTTTTGACAATTGTACTCATTTCTCCATCTGTCATGCTATGGCTTATTGGTCAGTTTGGAGAATTTTTTGTTTAATGTTGAGGTATATACTGAAGGCTATAATTTGTAAACATCAGATGAATTTCTTGTAATTGAGATTTTTTTACTCCAAATTCTCAGTAGTGATCTAGGATGTGTTTTCACTGCCATATAACTTTGAAATTTCCTGACATCAGTGATATTTTATTATGAATGTTATTAGTAATACCTTCATTTATAGTGTAGTCTGTTTAATAAAAAATATTATTATGCATTCATGTGATTTATATGTATTCTTCTGTCTTGATTTTAGTTGGGTGAGTGTTACCATTTTTTTAGCTAGACAAAAGGGTTCAGAAAGTGACTTGACCTGTGGCAATAATAAGAACAGGAACCATTCCTTCTTGCTGTTATTTCAGCAAGAACTTTTTTCTGTATATTACTAAATACCTGCTTCAGTCCATATGCATGGACCTCTCCAGAGTGCTGAAAAGCAACGATGGCAGCCTAGAGGCTAAAGGACGCCTAATCCAGGCCTTGGTCTTCTCAGTTACTTTTTATGCTTCAGAGAGCTGGACAATGACTAAGAATGACAGTAGAAGAGTAGATGCCTTTGAGTTGTGGTGCTGGAGAAGAGTCTTGAACATACCATGGACTGCCAAGAAAACAAATAGGCTGTCTTGGAGAGTGTGAAACCAAGTCTATCCTTGGAGGCTAGGATTTGAAGCTCTGTCTCAGATACTTTGGGCATGTGGCCACGAGAGACTGGTCTTTGGAGAAGGACATCATGCTTGGAAGGGTGGAGAGACAGTGCGGAAGAGGAAGACCCTAGGTGAGATGGATTGATACAGTAGTTGGGGCAGTGGGGGTTGGTGTATCGGAATAAGTGAGACTGGCTCAGGACAGGACAGGGTTCATAGCTGCTGTACATAGACTCGCTATACATCGCAGGCGACTCAAAAGAACATAACAAAAACATACTATATATACTGGTTTGTTGGGTTTTTTAAATTTTGTTAAGCCCCTTGTTTAGAGTCAACAAGTCCTCGGGGAGGGCCTTTGTACTTAAAAGTCTGTTGTTATATTTTTGAGGAATGTTCTTCTAAGTGGTATAGCACTATTCTGTCAATATGCTTTACTGAAGTAACCTGGGGTTGCTGTGATACTGAACATTATGTCATTGGGTATCAAATACCATAACAGTTACCAATGGTAGACAGTGTTTTGTGGAGCTCCCAGTTTAATGCAAGTTTGGAAACAGGAATGGCATCCACTTCCTGAACAACATGCTTCTGGAAACTCTGTGAACTTTGATAAATGATGATAGTTATAGAAAAGCCTTTTGTTCATAGGGTCAGTGTGAGTTTCTACTCAACGGCAATCAGCAACAACACTAAATACTTCTATTTCTTCTTATGGAAAGACAGGCTTCATTGAAAAACAGTCTAAAAAGAAAAATGAGAAGTACTCTTACTACCAGCTAGTAGAAGGACACAGTGTCCATTTGGCAGGATCTCAACTGGGAGTCACCCCAGTGCCTGCTAATTGCTTGACACCTTCCTAGCTTCATTTTAGGTTAAAACTTAAATAGAAGACACTTGGGATATTTGCTACTCGCATCCTCCCATTTCATGATATAAGATACCAGATCAACACTGAGGAATATACTAAGTTATTAAATATGTGTATTGAGTCTAATGTTAATTTAGTAGCTTTCTTGGAATTTTCACATTTATAAAAGCATCACGGAAGTTCATGATTTTTAAGAAGCCAAGTTGGTGGTACTAGCTCTGCCTCCATTTTGCAGGAGATGAGTTAAGTTTTAGTTATTCTTCATAACAACTAATAGGAAGATTGATACATTGAATTTTGCAGCCCTGTTTGGGCTAGCATCTGTGTTGGTAGCCAGACTTTCTGTGTAATACATGTCGACGCTGAACATGTTCTTTGGCCCAGCCTTGTTCTAATAACTCCAGGATACAATGGATCAGCTTATCCCTCTCCAGGAGCAGCTCAGCAGCCTGTGGCCACATTCTCCTAGGACAAACTTAATAGAATCTTAAGAATCAATTGTCATTTTTTTCTCTGCAGTTAAATTGGCTAGCTTCCAATTGCTTTATTGCAGTAGTAGTTTAAAACTGATTAAGAGACTCCAGTCATTCTCTAGTTCTGAGCCCTTCTTTAAGAAATGAGGCCTGATACGGGCACAGGCCTTGCCCAAGACCATCCAGCTTTTTTCATTGTCAGTGCAGCTCTTGTTCCTTCTGGCCCAGGACATTTTGTTCCTTCTGGCCCAGGACATTTTGTTCCTTCTGGAATGTTCCCCTCCTCTGTCTTGTACATGGTTGACTTTTCTAATCACTGATTCTGAAAAACTAAAGTTTACATTTCCAAGCTGTTTAAAGTATTACAAAACTTTGCATTATATTATTCCCTCACCTTGAGCTCTGGTGGCCAATATGTAAGGAATTTTGTTTCCAACCCAAAGGCAGGCAGCTCGAATCCACCTTGGAGGAAGGTGGGCAATACCTTCTCATGTGATTTTCAGTCTTTGAAAGTTTTGGGAGGGTCAGCTGGGAATCGGCTCCAAGTGAGGGGAGTGATCATGAGGGAGCTCTGGTGGTCTCTCTGTGGTGGGCTGCACTGCTGACCAAAAGGCCTTGCTTCTCCATCAGTTCAGCCCCCCCAGTGGCTGTTAGAAACAAGGGGTACTCCTGTCATTCAGAGCTGTAGCCTCAAAAACCAAGTCGAGGGTTGTTAGTGAGTTTGGAGGGGGTGGTGATTTGGTTTTTGGAGTATTTGTTGGAGTATTTGGAGTGTTGAGTCAGTTAATTCAATAATGAATACCTTTATTAAACATTCAGCATAGGAAGTGAAGATTAAAATTCAAGGAATGAAATAACTGAGCTTAATATCACGTTCTTTTTTCCTAGCCATCCATATATACATGTGTGTTACTTTTTGTCAGTTTTTACTCAACAAATGATGTCTTGCATTGGGAGAATCTACTGTCAAGGGCCTCTCCACAGTGCCAAAGAGCAAGGATATTAAAGACTATGTCTGACCCAGGACATTGTAGGTTTAATCGCTTCCTACACTTTTAAAAATTGGGCTCTGAATAAGGAAGACTGAATGCATACCTTTGAATTGTAGTATTGAAGAGTATAGATATCCCATGGACTACCAAAAGAATAAACAAATCTGACTTGGAGGAAATACAACCAGGTGTTCCGGAAAGATAAAGATGATGAAACTTCATCTCGTATACTTTGGGCATGTTACCAGAAGGGGCCAGTCTTTGAAAAAAAGACTGGAGAAGATAGAGACTTAGAAGAATAGAGGTAGACCTTCAACAAGATCAATTGACAGAATGTGACACGTGAGCTCAAGAATGGTAGCAAGCTGCAGGATGGGTGGCACAGGGCATGGCAAGGGTTTGATCATAGGGTCACTGTGAGCTGTAGTTGACTCAGCGACACTTGGCAGCTCTCAATAGCAGTGCATTTGGGTGGTTAATAGCTACTACTACAAGCCCCCACATGTCACAAATAGTCTTTCATTTCACTTCAGCTAAGGTTATGAACCTGCTATCTCCATATACCCTACTGGTGTAGCAATTCTGTGTGGAATAGGTTATGGATAAATAATTATTAATTGTATGAGTGAAAATTCTTTTTCTAGAATTTAAAAGAAACGTTAGCTACAACTGTTGTGTTAAGAAAACTCTTTCTTAGTTAAGACAACAATATGGAACAAGTGGCGCATTGCAAAGTGAACTGGGGGAGGAAGAAGGGAGAAAGAGGAAAATATACAACAATGAATGAAAAAAATCTATATTCCCCCCATCCCTGCCAAAATAAGGTACAAAAGAGCAAAAACAAAAGGAACACTCTTAGAGACTTGCCTTCCATGAAAATGGAAATGAAATTCTCTTTTTATATTTGAATACAGGGCAGAATCTAGACAGCATGCTCCACGGTACAGGAATGAAGTCAGAATCTGACCAGAAAAAGCCAGAAAATGGAGTAACGTTAGCACCGGAAGATACTTTGCCTTTTCTTAAGTGCTACTGCTCAGGACATTGTCCTGATGATGCTGTTAATAACACCTGCATGTAAGTGTTTTATCCATTTGGTTTTTTAAAAAAGTTGGTTTTTATTCAGTCACTTGTTTGTGTTTCCTTACAATAATAATTACAGTTGTATAATGTTATTATTGGTAACATCCTATGGAAACCTGCTGTATACTTTCTCTTCCTTCTCCTTATCCATCCACTCCCTGAACTCCAGTCTCCCTCCCTCCTTTTCCTTCCACAGTTGTTTCTATCTGGGTAAACCTTCCCTCATACTCTTCCCCCCCTTCCTCTCACTTAGATGAGTCATGCATGTCCTGTACCACATTGTTAATCGCTATGCATATATGTCTCATCCTTCATTACTTCAGGTTGATCTTTCTTTCCCCAGGGAGCAGGCTGCCAGCTGAAAGGCTTACGGTTCAGATCCACTAGTTACTCCTCAGGAGAAGGATAAACAATCTCCTCCTAAACAGTGAAAACCTGCTGGAGGGTCATCTATAAGTCAGTTGATGTTTCATAACAACAACAATAATCCATTATAGGGTTCATTGTCCATTTTGCTCCTTCTCCTCACCATCCTATTATTTATTTATTTATTTTTAAATTTTTATGTGTGTGTGTACCATCAAATCAGATCTGACTGCTACAGTAGGAGATTGCCCTTCCTTCTCCAGCAGGGCATCTAGTGGATTTGAACCGTATCCTGTTTTTATAATAGTAATTTTATACAGTGTTTATTTCAGATGGCTGGCTGATTTTATTCACTATCATGTTCTCTAAATTTATCCATGTTGTGTAGAGTTTCACAAATTCTTAATTTACAATGCTGTGTTCATTGTGTGAATGTGTCACAGTTTCCTTACTCACTTATTTGTTGATAGACATTTGGGCTATTTCCGTCTCCTTGTTACTGTGAATTATACAGAAATGTGTTGCAGGTCTGATTTCTTCAGGGTATATTCCCAGTATTAGAATAGTTAATCAGATGGGATTTCTCTTTTCAAGTTGCACCTCTGATTTCTTTAGAGTATATTCTCAGTAGTTAAATAGCTGGGTCAGATGGGATTTCTATTTTCAATATTTTGAGGAAATGCAGGTTGCTTTCCATAGTGGTTGTTGGATTCCAGTTGTGCATGCAAGTCCAGTCTCTCTCATTCTTGCCAATACTGGTTGTTGGCGGTCCTATTAAACTTTGCTGTTGTTGTTTTAGCTTACACCTCTCTAATAGCTGGTGATCTTGAGCATTTCTTCATGTGTTTGTTGGCCATCTAAATATCTTATTTGGTGAAGAATCTTTTCATATCATCTGATAATTTTGTAATTGAGATGTTGTCTTTTTCTTGTTGAGATGCTGGAATAGAAATGTTAGATATTAGTCTTTTGTTATATAGGCCATTCCCAAATACCTTTTCCTGGTCTTTGGGCTTAATTTTCACCCTGTTGGTGAAAATTTTTGATGTACACAAAGATTTTCTTTTTAGAAGGTCCCATTTATCTTTTCTCTCCTGGTTGTAAACTTTTGGTTCTCTTTAATTCTATATGTTTTTATGCCATAGATGATTGTTGTTCCTTATTCTCAAGTCAGAACCATCCAATAGCTGATAATCCATCTGGTTACAGGAGGGTTGCCCATCATTCTCCACAGAGCAGATGGCGGATTCAAATGGCAATCCTTCACCATTGGAACACAGCTTTTTTATCACTAGGCCACCAGAACTTCCTCATGCCATAGATTGTTGTCATTGTTTACTGTCAAGTCGGACCAACCCATAGCTGACCCGACAGTAGGTTTTTAGAGGCAGTTAAATCATACTGGAGGAGATTGCCCATTTTTGTCCTCGAGAGCATCTGGTGGATTAAACTCTGTGCCTTGGGGACTGCAGCACAGCTTCTTTACCACTAGGCCACCAGAGCTCCCACGTCATCAATTAGGGCTTCTAAATGTATTGCTATATTTCTCTCATGATCTGTATTATTGTAGGTGTTTCTGTTTTGTACCCCATATCCCTTAACACCTTGGGTTGGTTTTTGAATGTGGTGTGAAATGTCAGTCTTTTTGTCCAGTTTGCCAGCACTATTTGGTAAAGAGGCTGTAGTTTTCCTAATTAGTGAATTTTGTCTCCTTGCCTGTGATCAGTTGACCAAAGGTCAAGGATTGGTTTCTGGGTTCTTTTGTTCTATTGCATTGGTCTATACCAATGTGTCTGACGCTGTACCAGCACCATGATGTTTTGATTACTGTGGGAGTATAGTAGGTTTTGAGATCAGGGAATATGATACCTCCTACTCTATTTTTCATAGAGCTTTGCTTATTTGGGGTCTTACTCCTTTTCAGATAAACTTGGAAAATACCTTTTTTTAGCTCCCTAAAGAATGGCTCTGAAATGGCAATAACCAGTATTGGGATTGCATTGAATCTGCTTTTGGTAGAATTGTCGTTTTCACATGGATAGTCTTCTTATTTATGAACATACTATGTTCCATTTATCTATGTCTTTTTTTGTTTTGTAATTTTTCTTTATATGGGTCTTTTGTTTCATTTGTGATTGGCTAGTATAATTGGTATTGTTTTTCTTACTATCTTTTCTATGTTCTTTTTGGTACTGTAGAGAAATCCAACTGATTTTTGTTTCTTGTATCTTGCTGTTCTTCTGATTGGTCTGTTGACTTAACAGGTTTCTTGCTGAGACTTCAGGGTTTTCTGGGTACACTCTAATACCATTGGCATAGAGAGAGGCCTTAACTTGTCTTTGCCAATTTGGATGCCTCTTAGTTCTTTCTTGTGCCTTACTGCTCTAGCTAGGACTTCCAGTACAATACTGAATAGATGTAATGCTAATTAGGATCCTTGTCTGTCTTGTTCTTCAGGGGAATGCCTTTTAATTTCTCCCCAATGAGGATAATGTTGTTGTTGGTTTCATGTATGTGCCCATAACTATGTTCAGGAAATTCCTCTCTGGTCTTCATTCTAGAGTGTTTTAATCAGGAAAATGTGTTAGATTTTGTCAAGCCTTTTCAGCAACAATTGAAGTAATTATGTGATTTTCTGTTTTTATTGATTTAATGGGATTACATTGGTTGTTTATCTCATGTCCAAGAAACCATGCCTTCTTGCCAATTTTGAATCCCACTTGATCATGATGAGCTATTTTTTGGAATAACTTTGTTGGATTCTCTTGGCTCAGATTTCTATGTCTTGTGTTCATGAACGTTACTAGTTTATATTTTCTTTTTTGACGGTGTCTTTACCTGATTCCAGCAGTGTTCGTTATTTTTCTGTATTCTGAAATAATTTAAGTAGGAGTGATGGCAGTTCTCTGAATGTTTGGTAGAATTTGCCAGTGTCTTGGCCAAGTGGTGACTGGACAGAAATTTCTCTGCCATTTTATCACAGAGATGACTGAGTCCACATGGACCCTGGTTGTGAGACCTCCCCTTTAATCAGATACGGTTGCTTGTTAATCCTCATTGATGACATGGAGCATTAACCCTCACTGGCACGTAGGCTGTTGCCATCTTTTCCTTTTGTGTGTAGTGTTGTAGTGCATTATGTGTGCGTATGCCTGCTCATGTCACTTCCATTAGATCCCCACGTGAAAGCTCTAACTAGTTGTGGTTGTTTGTTTTGTTACTGGGTTTTGGGTTATTTTTAAGAACTTCCAGATTTTTTCCCACAATATCTGTATCCCTTTCCATTCTTACTAGCAACTAACTTAACAGTGGCTGAAAAAAGTTCCGTTTCCCAAAATCCTTTCCAACTTTTGCTATTTTGATTGTCCTTTTTTTTGTTGTGGTGGTGGATATGTTGGGCATCCTTATTGGAATGAAACGGTATCCCATGGTGGTTCTGATTTGCGTTTCCCAATGGCTGATGAAGCAAGAACAGTGAAGCTGTTTCTTACATACATAAGCATGTTATTGTCCTTAGAAGAACAAGCCTCCCTATCCTTGCTTCAGTAGAGCACTCTGGCTGCACTTTTTGTTATGAGGGATTATTCCTTGGAAAGGGACATCATATTTGGAAAGGAGGAGGGCCAGTGAACAAGAGGAAGACCCTCAATGAGGTAGATTGACATACAGATTTCAGCGGTGGCCTCGAGCACCCAGGGTGTGATAGGGTTCAGCGCTGTTGTTCATAGGGCACTATGAGTCGTAAGCACTCAACTCAGTGGTACTTAACAAGGACAACAATGGCTAATGACATTCATCATCTTTTCATATGTCTGTTGGTTATTTAGTGACGTTATTTGTATGTGTCCTTTGCCTGTGTTTTTTGTTTTTGTTTTTTTTTTTATTGAGTTGTCTTTTTGTTGTTAAGTTGTAAATGTTGTTGTAATGTGCCGTCGAGTTGCCTGCAACTCATAGCGACCTTATGTGCAACTGCCCTAAACCCTACTCTGTCCTGTGCTAATCTCACTGTTTCCGACACACCTACCCCCATTACCCCAGTCACTGAATCAATCCACCTCATAGAGGGTCTTCCTCTTTTGTGCTGTCCTTCTACTCTCCCAAACATGACGTCCTTCTCCAAAGACTGGTCAGAGTATTTCAGATGAAGCTTCAGAATCCTTGCCTCCAAGGAGCAGCCTGGTTTAACTCTCTCCAGGACAAACCTGTTCATTTTCTTAGCAGTCCATGGTATATTCAGTACTCTTCTCCAGCACCACAGCTCAAAGGCATCAATTCTCCTTCTATCCTCCCTAGTCATTGTCCAGCTCTCTGATGCATAACAAGTGATTGCAAAGACCATGTCCTGTGTCAGGCGCACCTTAGTCTTCAGAGTGACACCATTGCTCTTCAGTAGTCTGGAGAGGTCCCTAGTAGCAGACTTCTCCTTTACAATACATCTTTTAATTTCCTGGCTGCTGGTGCCAAGAGTGTTGATTGCGGAGCCAAGCAAACTAAAGCTGTTAACAATCTCAGTCTCTTTACCATCTATCCTGATGCTGCCAGTTGGCCCAGTGGTGAGAATCTTTGTCTTCTTGACATTGAGCCTCAATCCATATTGAAGGCAGCTGTCCTTGACACTCTGCAGCAAGTGTTCAGGTCCTCCTCAGTTTCAGCAAGCAGGGTTGTGTCATCTGCATAACACAGATTGATGATGAAATCTTCCACCAGTCCTGATGCCACACTTCTCGTCATAGAGCTCAGCCTCCCAGATAATCTGTTCTGTATATAGGTTGAAAAGGTATGGCGATAGTACACATCCCTGGCATACACCCTTTGCAATTTTGAACCATGCAGTGTTTCCTTGCTCTGTTTTGACGACTGCCTCCTGGTCAGAGTAATAGGTTTTGCATTAGCACAGTCAAGTGTTCTGGGATTCCCATTCTTCTCAAAGTCAGCTACAGTTTGTTATGACCCACACAGTCAAACACTTTGCATAATCAATGAAACACAGACAATCCTCTGGTACTCCTTGCTTTCAGCCAAGGTCCATCTAACATTAGCTATAATATCCAAATCCTTTTCATGTAACTTTACATATTTGTGACGGTTCTGTTATTCTCAAAGGTGTCGCGTCCCCCCCCAAGTCTAGCATGTCTCTCTATAATAGTCTTTTCTTGAAACTTAAGTGTTTCACTTTTTTTGAAGTTCAAATTATCTATTTTGTTTTCTGTTGCTCATACATCCATGCTTGTGTTGGAGATGTCATTGAAATAATTTAAATCCCAAAGTTTTGTTCCTTTATTTTTCCCTCAAGAACTTTGTGATTTTAAATTTAATAATCATTTAGTTCCTTGTTCATTTTTATGTATGAAAGTGCAGTATGGATTTTACCTCCTTTTTCTGACTGTGGAAATTTTGTTTTGCCCATACTGTTTGTTGAAGAGACTTCTTTTCTTTCCCACTGAACAGATTTGACTACCTTGTCAAAAGTCATTGACTGTAGATGCTTAGATTTACAACTGCTTGATTTGAATCCACCAGTTCTTGGGGAAAAGGATAGGCAATCTTTGTGCTGAAAACCTGCTGGAGAGTCTGCTGTGGGTGGGTTCCAACTCAATAGCACACAGCAACAACAGTGTACATATATTTGTGTAAATTTCTTGAAAACGAATCTCTCAAAAAGTACCCTATCCCCCCCACTCCCACTTCACCCCATAACCCTGAGTAAAATGTACCTTTCAGGATGTCAGTCTGTTCTTCCCAGGTACACTTTTTAGAGTTCAGTTCATTTATATGTTTCAAAAAGAAGTTTGGTTTTTTGTTATTATCTGTGTAATTATTGCATATCTTAAGAACAAGACACAGATATTTAAGTATGGTTTGAAACATTAAGGTTATATATTTTATAAAATTTCACCCTTTAGCTTTCCTATCATGAGTGGCTGTCAAAGAAAAGGGATTGCAGTGCTGCTTCTTGCCACTAGGCCAGGAAGGCACACTGTTTGGATCCACCACATGCTCCTGTGGAGAAGGAGCGGCAGTCTCCTGTACCACATGGATCCATTGACAGTACACGAGAGAAAAAAGAAGAATACACACATCAGAATAAAAAAAACCCCGTCCATTTCCAACATACATAGGTTCTCATTGACCCATTATATCTTAGTTCAGTTTATTAGTTTTGCCAATAAATTACACACGAATGTAGCCCTCGGTACTGATCTTGTTCAAACTCAGGGTTTAATTAGTACTTTATGGTAATGTAAAAATTAAACATTCTTTTTCCCCTCCTAGAACTAATGGACATTGTTTTGCCATCATAGAAGAAGATGACCAAGGAGAAACCACATTAGCTTCCGGGTGTATGAAATATGAAGGATCTGATTTTCAGTGCAAGGTAAGATTTCATTTGAGATTTGCAAAGAAGAGGTGGGGAGCAAAATAAAGTGCATAAATTTTCTCTGTGAGAAATGGGCCTGATCTGAACATCATGTGAGCCAAAGTTCTGAAATAAGTTTAGCTTTGAAATCAAGTAAGGTAGTTGTGGCAGTTGACGTTCTGTATTATTTTACTGTAATGAAAAGTTTTTAATTCTGTTTCTAAATTGTCATTGCAAAATGGTAACTATACTCATTTATAAATGATAACATATTCATTTATATATTGTGAAATTTTTTGAGAGGACTTTAAGGTGTTTGTTATTCTAAGATGTAAACTGCCTTGGACAGTTCACTGTAGGGTCAGTTGTGAGTCAGTTTTCATTCACCAGGACATAACAACAATACCATGGAGGTGTTACTCACTCCTTTGAAGGCAGTTGTGACACATAACCACCTGTTGGGGTAGGATTTTCAGATCTCTGATCTGTGGGAGCAGACCAGCTTGACTCTCCTTCTGTGGAGCAGCTGGTGGTTTCTAACAGCCAACCTTTGGGTTAGCACTGTACCCTCGGAGCTTCTAAAGAGATACTGTTGTTTGTTGTTAGGTGCCTGTGAGGTGAGTACGACTCATAGTGACCCTGTGAACAACAGATCTGAACCCTGGATCCTTTGCCGTCCTCATTCTCTTTGACACACTTGAGCCCATTGCTCCCATCACTGTGTCAGTCCACTTAGCTGAGGGTCTTTCTTCCTTAACCATCAGGCCCACCTTTCCAAGCATGATATCCCTGTCCAAGGAATAGTGTGGAAGAAAGATGGGCAATCTCCTCCTTAAACATTACACTGCCTCTGAAAACCCTCTGGAGGGTCATCTGTAGATTGGTTCCTACTCAGAAGTACTCATTACAACAGTTAGTTCATTAGCATATTTATAAAATACAATCATTTGTAAAGTTTTAAACTGTATATTAGAAATACCAACAATAGTAGTATTGTGAGAACTCTGGTCTCAGAAGTAATAACCAATGTCTTGTGTTGTTACTGTATACTGTCAAGCTGGAACCAGTACAGAGCTGACCAGTATAGATTAGTTATTAAGAGTCTATGATTTTAAAAAAAAATTGTTTTTTTTTAAGAGTCCAAGTCCTTCTACCTTGTACTGTGACTCGTTGACAAGGAGCTTTTTTCTTTTAAATAGTTTTCTTGTCCATAAAGAATGAGATAGCATGTGTAAAGCATGTGTGTCAGTTGACAAACAGTAGAGGCCCAATAAGTTGAGTATGCTGCTAGGTTGACTCTAACAGAACCACTGTGTGATATAGAGTGAAGCTGCCTGGAAGGTCCTCAACTCTGTTCTCTGCCCCACCATTTTATTTTTAGTCAGACACATTGTTTGTTTTTTTAATTTTTTTAAATTTTATTTTATTACTTTGTGTGTGTGTACCGTCAAATCGTATTTGACTGGTACAGGAGGAGATTGCTCCTCCTCCTCCAGCAGTGCATCTGGTAGACACATTGTTTTATGTAATTATTTACTACGGATCAATACCTTTTATCACTCCATATCATCACGTCTCCATTGTACCCTGCCTGTTCCTTCACCCAGCCTTTTGTCAACTAATTTCTGCTCCCAAGTATGTTTTATCCCCATTAACTAGGAGTATTGGTGGCTTAGTGGTACGTAATTGTGCTGCCAACCCTATATTGGAATCCACCAGCTGTTCTATGGAAGAAAGATAAGCAGTTTCTTCCCATACAGTTTAACTGTCTGCTGGAGCAGCCATGGGTCTTTTCTGACTCAGCAGTACACAACAACAAGAACAACCACTTCCACTTTCTTCTGCTCGAATTGCTGTAAATATCTTGATCCTGTTTGTTAATTGTAGTAACCATGTTGTCCTTTCATTAGTTGTTCCTAGGTTGATCCCCCTTCTCTTGATCTTTTATTGTGTTCTCTGACTATGCTATCTCCATTCCCACCCTTCTCACCCTTCAGTTACTTTCCTCTTATCACAGGAGGTATTTGTCCTTTTTGACTGAATTATTTCACTCAACATAATGTCCTTCAGACTTGCCCATGATGTGTAGTATTATAAAAATTCTTTGTTCTTTAGTTCAGCATAGTATTACATTGTATGAATGTACTATAATTTCTCAATCTATTAGTTTGTTGATGAGCATTTGGGCAGTTGCTATATTCTTGTTATTGTGACTAATGCTGCAGTGAACACATGTAAACATACGTCCTTTTGTGCCTCAAGTTCTGATTTCCTTGGGTTATATTCCTAGTAGTGGAATAGCTGGGTCATATGGGATTTCTATATTCAGCTTTTTGAGTAAATGCCTGAATGCCTTCCATAGTAGTTGTACAATCCCACTAACAGTGCATGTGAGTTCCATTATCTTCACCTACTCACCAACATTTATTGTTTACCATCATGTTAAATTTTATGTTACCTCTGGAGTGAGATGGTATCACATTGTTGTTTTTATTTGCATCTCTTTGCTGATGATTTTCTACATTTTTTCATGTGTTTGGTGGGCAATAGATTATCCTCCTTAATGAGTGTTTTCACACCTTTTGCCTTTTGTGATTGGATTTATGATCTTTTTCTTGTGGAGGCACTTTAGTATTCTTTAAATTTTAGTTATAAACCCCTTGTTTGATGTCATTGCCAAATACTTTCCCTGGCTGTGGACTTTTTTGCATCATATTGAAAATAAGCTTTTAATGCACATAGAGATTTGGTTTTTAGAAGATCTTGTTTGTCGATTTTACACTCTCCTAGCATTTTTGGCTATTTGCAAACATATTCATGTTATAGAAACTAGGCTTCTGAATTTGTTCTCACGTTTTCTCTGATGATCTTTATGGTTTGGGGGTTTGCCCCTAGGTACCTGATCCACTTTGAGTTGGTTTTTGTGTGTGGAATAAGGTGTTTCAGTTCCCTGAAGGTAGATTTTGTTTGCTAGCTATATTTGTTAAAGAGGCTGTCATTTCCCCATTTAACAGGTTTCATTTTCTAGTTAAATAACAATTGACTGTAGATAAATGGGTTGGTTTCTGGTTTCTAGATCCTGTTTCATTGGTTTATGAGCCTGTTGTACCAATACAATACCATGTTGTTTTGAGTATTACAGCTGTATAATAGATTTTGAGATCAGGGAGTGTGACGTTTCTTCCCTACATCGTTTTTATTTTTCAGAAGAGCTTAGCTTATTCAGGGCCTCTTTCCTTTTCAAATGAAACTAGAAATTGCCTTTTCTAGCTCCTTGAAGAGGGTGCTCTTGTGGCTTGGTGGTAAGGACATGCCCTGCGATCCCAGAGGCAATGTAATTCAAGTCCATCAGCTGCTCCGAGGGAGAGAGATGGGCAGTCTTCCCCTATGTAATTAAACTGCCTCTAAAAACCTGCTGGGTGACTTGATGGTACACATTTCCTTGAAGAGTGAGATTGCTGTCTGTATTGGGCTTGTGTTGAACCTGTAGATTGCTTTAGGTAAGATTGTCATTTTGCAGTTTTGCGTCTTCCTGATCATAAACAGGAAATATTTTCTCATTTATTTAGACCTCTTATTGTTCAATGTAGGGAGCTCTGTTGGCTTAGTGATTTAGTGGCACTGTCAGTCCATATGCACATGGTTCAAACCCACCAGTTGCTGTATGGGATAAAGCTAGGCAATCTCCTGCAGTGTGATTTACTGCATCTGAAAACCTTCTGGAAGGTCAGCCATGAGTCTTTTCCAACTCAGTGGCACAAAACAACACTGTTTATTTTAGTGGTGTTTTGTAGGTTTTTTGTAAAGATCTTTTGTGATCTAGTTAGGCTTATTCCTAAGTATTTCATCTTGTGATGGTTGTTTTAAATGATACTGCTTTTCTTACTTGCTTTTCAGTATGTTCTTGTTGCTGTAGAGAAATCCATCTGATAGTTGTATGTGGATCTTGTATCCTGCTACTCTGCTGAATTGGTCTACCAAGTCTAACAGTCGTTTTATATATATTGGTTTGCTTACAAAGTTCATATACATTGTGTTTCACATTAGTCTTCATTCACATTGTTTTTCATACAATTGTTCCAATTCATTATGTTTTATAAAATTAATCACCATTGGACTATGCCCACCTAACAATGGCCATTGGATTATGCCCACCCTGTCTTTTCAGGTCCCTGCCAGATCTTTCCCATTTCCTTTACCCTTACCCAGCAGATTGTGCAGTCTGACAATCTTGTTTGTTGAGTCTTTAGGGTTTTATGTAAACATGATCATATCATCTGCATATAGAGTTCGTTTGACCTCCCTCTTTGTTATTTTGGATGCTTTCTTTTCTTCCCTAATTGTTCTGGCTATGACTTTCAGTACAGTATTGAATAGGAGTAGTTGTAGTGGGCATCGGTTCTGACTCAATAGTACATAACAATAATTATTGGTGAGTGATCTTGTTCATTAATGTCCTCATTCTGTTAGATCACCTTTATTGGGAATGGGAACAAATATGGATATCTTCCAGTCAGTAGCCAGGCAACTGTCCTCCAAATTTCATGGTATAAAGTGGTGAACATGTCCAGGGCTACATCTATCATTTGAATTAGTATCACATCTCTCTAGTGCAGCTTGTACTTTATGCTTCATTACTATTGGCTCTTGATCTTACGGTACTTCCTGAAATATTTCGGTGTTGTCCAGTTGTTTTGGTACAGTGATTCTGTGTATTCCCTCCATCTTGTTTTGATGCTTCCTGGATCATTTAAGATTTTGCCTTTGTTGTTTTTGTTCTGTGCCATTGAGTTGCCTGTGACCCATAGAGACCTTATATACAGCAACTCTGAAGCCTGCCCTGTCCCGAGCCAGTCTCACTAATTTCTACACACCTAACCCCATTTCTCTAGTCACTGAGTCAATCTATCTCATCTGGGTCTTCCTCTCCTGCACTGTCCCTCTGCCCTTCCAAGCATGATGTCGTCCTTTAAGGCCCAGTTCCTCCTGCCCATATGTCCAAAGTATGTGAGATGAGG